AAACCGTATTCCATATGTTGTTCACCGATGGACGATTGTTGAGAAATGAAATTCAGTAAGATAAAAATTGGTCTAAACTCTCGTTAAATTCGACAAATGTATAACGCACAAAATAAAAATACCAACAGGTGACGGTCGTTTTTCTCATTACCAGTAAATAAAATAGGTTTTTGGGAATACCGGCCACACGGGTAGTGGGCAATAATCTAAAAGGTATATATATATATATATATATAGTTATAAAAGTATTCACTATAATATAGTGTATATATGTATAGTTATATTATAACTATGCACTGATCAATCGTAGTCACAACAAAATAGCGGAATTAATACGATAACAGTGTAGATGTAAAATAGTAATATTACTTCATTTTTTTTTCGACGATTATTAATTTAATTTTGCCGCCTCAATATATTTAAAATATTTTGCCGCCTTAAAGCAATGCATGACTTGCTTGTACCCTAGCGACGGGCCTGATTATGGTATGGTTGAGTACTTCGTTGTTACATATAGTGTAATACTAAACGTAAATTTATAAATACAAGTTTTTAAAAAAAATTATCCAATTTGAAATAGTTAGTAATATTCCGCTTTGAATAATTTTTCTATGCGATATTCTTAAAAAGACACAATTTAGTGTATTAAATGAGAAGTGTGGACAACATTTTCCCGCGTAATATCCATTGATCGCTATAATTTATTGAAATAAATTATAAATAAACACTTTTACATTAGATTATTATTATTACGCTTCATTTTACTGTGTGGCTGGATTTTTATCTCATTGCAACACATCCAGTAATCACTTTTATCCTGTGCAATAAATTATGTCATTTACATTGTTATAAGACATACACTTTTCAATTTTCATCAATGTTAATTAACACTAAGAGATGAACCATTGATGATACTAAATATACTGTCGACATAATATCTGACGATCACTTTTATCTCCACGATAAATTAGATATGCCACTGTTGGGGTCACTGTGTGTGCCTTTATACCGATTATTGGTAAACACTTAAAGTCCCGTAAGGGTCGTCATTCTCAGTTTATGTAATCAGTCGACAGACAAGTTTATCTCATAAAGATTCACTAACTATATCTAGATAGGGCTATTAGATGGTATATATGTTTAATCAACAACTGTATGATAAATGTTAAGAAAATAAATATAAAAGTGAATATTGAAAATGCTATTATAAGTAAACGAATATACAACACAGTAAACAAGAAACAACATACGATTGGATTATAGTGTAGAAATCATTAGTAATATGAACGGCATACATCTTTTAGAATAAACAGGTAAGTGAAAGCACATTTCATCTCCGCCTGTCATAAGATAAAAAAAAAGTAACATATATGAGAGATATCACAGAGTATTATTTTATTATTATTATTATTATAGTTATTTTGTTTATGTACTGTTTGTATATATATATATATATACACATGTGAATTTTTTTAACATCACCTATTCAATTACTTACAGAATAAATATAATTGAAACATTTTTTTTTTTTTTTTGTTTATCTTTAGTTACATATTCTTTTAAATTAGTAACTTTGTAATACTTTTTAAGTTCATCCCTTATGCCCTTTAAGGATGTCAACTTTGTTTTTTTTTAAATGAGAACACATACTTTGAATTTAATGAAATGTTTAAGTTTTTAATTTAATAATAAATGACATTTGAATTTTTATGACGTCGATATTCACAGGTACACAGCATTCATTATCAATGGTAGTAAAGTACATTGTTGTGAGTTTACAAATACATTAATTGTCAATACAGAAAGTATATCTTTTGATAGTCATAATTTACAATAAACACTCCGAGACTGTGACAGTGACGTCATAAAAATCCAATTAGCTGCCTGTTTTTGTAATCCCTTGTGTATTATACATGAATATTAACTCGAAAATTTGAAACTTTAAATGTTTATATCTAATAAACGAAGACTTATATTAAAAATTCTAATATTTTATTAAATTTAAAATTTGTATTCCCATTTAAAAAACAAAGTTGACACCCTTACCAGGTATAAAGGGATGAACTCAAAAAGTATTAAATAGTTAATAATAATAATAATGTGTAACTAAAAATAACAAAAAAAAAAAACTGTTTAAATTATATTTATTCTGTGAGTAATAGAGTTATAATAAAAAAAATCACCATGTATATATTATAGATCAATCATAATGATTGTCCCTGGTTATATATAATAATAGTAGATTCTATAGTATTCAACTTCAAAGGCCAAAAAGCTTGCTCTGAATCAGGGTAGAGACGTATCTTGAATTTTTTCAAGGGAGAGATGCAAACAAATTTAAGCGTTACTTGCTATTTTGTGTCAATTGTATTATTTGAATATTTTTTTTTTTAGGAAACAACATCACTTTGAGAAAAAGAGGACATGCGCTTCCTACGCCCTTTCCTAGATTCACTATTAAAACTGGTTTAATTTAAAATGAGCTCGATTTACTCGAACTCACGTTTTGTTATGTGCTTGTTAAGGTTGCTAATATGTTTAAAATAACCAGCATAGTGGAGTCGTGGTCCCATTTATGGTGACATTAGATTCTACTAGATAAAAACAATAAAAACAAAAACCTTCTCTACTTCGCATTGAAGCTAAAATTACATTATATTAAATATTTTTAAGGATATTGCAGACAATGATCGTAGTTAAGCAGTCCCTGTACATTCTTAGGCGTTTAAACAAATCATTGTGTGGAATATTTTCAGTAACCAAAAGTAATACATTTTTTTGTTTAACATATAATAAGGGAAATCTATTATTGCATTAATCATCTAGTATTGCATTCCACATTTTTAGCACTATCAATTAGTTGGTTAATAGATGAATTAAAAACACAGAATTGTGCTAGACAAAATTTTTTTTTCTTATTAGGTAATATTTCAGTATCATCAAATGATATGAAATGTGGCTGAGATATAGCCGGTAAGTGTGCGCAGTTGAGTTAAGCGCACAATAGGCGGTAGTGGTGATGATTTCGTGAAAATCTTGTCGTTCTCTCACGTTGCCGCGCAAATCGTGTTCGTCCGTAGTCGGCATCCTTGTGCTATGCTCAACTTCCGTCGTAAGCACCTCCGATTGATGATCTGCACGTGTTTTACCAAAGTAGTTTTCGCTGTGTGCTGATTGTCCAACGATACATTTCGGGTTTGAACAATTATTGATGTAGATTTTTATCATCACATTAACATGGCTTGCTCAAATATGACTTGAAAAAACAAGCCGTAGTGGACTATTCATAACAACTACCTATCAATTACATTGAAATTCGTCAACCACGAATGGGTACCGGACATTAATGCGCCTAAATCAACGTGAGTCTTATTGTATCCTAAAACAAGTGCGATATTTACTTACACGTTAATTGTCTCTGTTAATTACAATTATGTAGACACCATTTGAAATCTACTGATAAGAATATTCATTTCAATGTCACATGTAGAAAGAAATACTTATATTTTAATTTTAAACTTGACATTAGCTTAATATCAATTAATGCCTAAAAAATTTAAAGATATAACAATTTTAACTTTTAAGACTTTTCGAGTAAATTTTTTTGAAAACTTATTTTTATTAACGCATAAATATTTACAATACTGTACTAAAACTCGTTTTTTTTATCTACTAATGCATTTTTATCGCTAAATTGACAATTATTGAGTAATTATACTAATATTCAAATGGAACAGTGAGTAGTTATTGGTACCATGCAGTAAAGGTTCGTTGTTTAATTAATCTGAAATAGAATACATTTCTTTGATAGTTTTACCAAAAAATATATCATATGCTAAAATATGTTAGCACCGATATTTTTAAATAACATAGCTTATGTTTTTAGAGGAACAGTTTTTTAAATGCATTTCATTGATAAACATTTTAACTGACTTCAAAAAGTGGATTTCAAGTATATTACACACTTACTTTTTTTTAAGTACTGATCTTATTCAAAATAGGGATATAAGAAATTACTGAACAATCAATATAATTAAAATAAAATTAATATGATATATATATATATATTGCCGTGGTAAGTATAGAACATAATTATAGATAAGGTTTACCATTATATTTTACGTTCAATTTACTCGCATGAATCACACGTATTATATTTTGTCTAGAATAATTTTGGATTATTGTAATTTTCCAATATTTTATGAGTGCCAACACACACATAAATACATAATTAAAATGACTAAACTACATACACATTTACATATCCTTAAATATCTCTTTTACAATAATGTCACTACTTGACAAATAGCTTTGCTTTTGTATAGTTTATTTTTGCTATTTCCCGATTTGCCAAGTCAAGATAACAGCTGTTGCAATGGTACATCACCCACGGAGCTATATAAAATTTAAACAATAAATATACAATATACAAAAATGCATAAAGAAATTTATTCTGTCGCATTGCTTCGTTCAACTGTGTGTAATTTGAATATTTCGTATGCTAATAATATGTACACTATTAATTCCTTCTTGTGAATACTATATTAATAGTATAATATTATATTGATATATTAACTTAAAAACAAATCATATTTATAATTATAGACATAGAAATTTTAATATTAATAATAATAAAATTAAAAATATAACTACAATAGTTTCAACCTTAGGCCATCACCAGGTTAGTAAAATAAAATATGAAATAATCATATATATATAAAAAAAGTTAAAAGAACACTACTCATATCTATAAAAAATGTAAAATTGGTGTAAAAAATAATATTGTAGGTATAAATTTGACTGTATTGATATCTATTGGAAATTTTTTAAAGCTCTGAGCTTACTAATGTGTTCTTAGTTTTTTTATTTTTTTAATATTTATGTTTATTTATTATTTTAATTTAAGTTACCTGTAGATAGTCTAAGATCAAAACCATAGTATTTACATTTATAATTTTATAATACTCTTGCTCTTATTTTTATACTGTTATTGATAATTAAATTTCTATTTCTATTATTATAATTGAGTATTATACTTATTTTATATATTATCATATTTATTAAAAATTACATGATTTTTACTTTAAGAGCACGATTTTTAGAGGACAAGTTACCGGAACGTTATTCTTTTTTAATCATATGTTACATTAAATGAACTTTAATTTTAAACAATTTAATATGATGCAATTTGTTCCATTGTTATACAATAAATCAAATATCATCCATTTTTACAGATAATTATATGGTTTTATGAGATATGCTTATATAAATCAATATTTCAGATAGTTTTTTGATTTTTCATCTTAAGGAACATTGTATTAGCTTTGATTTAATGTAAGCTTAAAGAAGTCGGATTTTTGGAACATTATTAAAAATTAAAAGCAAAAAATTTTTATTTTTTAATTTTATAAGTCCCCACAGTACCTTGGCTAATTATTGAATTTTTAAAAAAAGTTTTTTGTCGACAAGACAAATTTTTGAAAAATATAAATTGAAATGTTGTAATAATATTTTTAATTTTCATTAAATTATTTCAATATAAAGTGAAAACTATAAATATCAACATTGATTCTTTTATAACAATTGAACGTAATTTTTAAAAAATATGATACTGATAGCTTTAACTAAATACGTGTTGTGATATGTTAACGTACCATTATGTAAAATCGGTTCTGTAAAAGTGGAGTAATTGTTTAATATAACACACACGAAAAAAGATTACACAAAAGCAAAACCAGTAGTTTCTCAAAGTAAAGAAGCCAAAAAGCATAATCATACCTTTTTGACAATTTTAGTAAAATTTGTATATACAATAAAATAATAAGTATCGAACCCATATGTTATACATGACATCATTTGAATTACACTAATAATTATTAGTTTCATATATTTAGCTGCAACGACACATACACCACAAAGAGATTAAACTATAGTATTTATATAGTAGATTGCTGTCCACAAAAAGAGAATGCTGTGGCAAATCTTAAGCTCTAAAAACATACTTTTTGTATCTTAACTGGCAATACTGTTTTTGCATTTTCTAATCAAATAGTACCATTGTCGACTATCTTTCAAAAATTATCAAATCTATAAATATAAATGATTCAGTTATAACAATAAAAAGGCTACTCAATATTGCCAAATTAATTATCATATTAAGTGTATTTTATTCAACGCCAAATCAAACCATAAGAAATAAATTAAAAAAAAAAAAAATACAATATTAGTTTCTACTTCTCCTATTAACGATTAAAAACTGAAATAAAGATAGATCACTTTGAACATGTTATGAACTTTAAATGCTAAGTATAAATTACATTTTTTTAAAGTGTCCATTGAAGAACATATACCTAATCTCTCCGAATCACTAGCCATAAACCATATGACACCAACTTAGAATCTTTTTCATTGATAATTAAATAACCTGTTTTATGTATAAAGCATTCGGTCACACTTCTCAAAAAAAAAAATTAAGAACCTATCAGTACAATTTTAACAACTAGAACTTGAAGAAACATAACTAATATAAAACATGTTATCTCCAATAACAAGTCTTTTTATGCAAGTCCTTACCTCAGAAATAGGAATGGATTGAATTAGAGAATGTTTATAAACGACATATCAAATACAATCACATAAAAAACTACGAGTCCTAAAATCACTACACAAACACAATACAGCATACCTTAAAACAATAGTAGTCAAAAAAAATTATTTAAAAAAAATAGTTCTCTAGAATACTTTCTAATTAATGTTGAAAATTTACTAAATCCTGCTGAAACATCCTTTAATTGTAATCCCAATTATCCAATAAGTTATACAATATTTAAAAACTTTATCAAAAACACTCAAGATCACAATGACAAAATAACAATATTACTAAATAAATGTAAAAAACATGTATGATTGAAACTATTAAAGAAGCATGTAAATTTACGATTATGGACTGAAAATTAGACTTATCAAAATTTAAAAAGCTCTATATAATAAATCCATATGAAATTAAAGACCTTAAATTTTCTTTTTATAAATATTATAACTAAAATATATGTAATTATTGAATAATAAACAAAATACCTACAAATGTTAATATTTTACTTTAAGAAATAGATTCTCTATAATTCAATGGAATATAAATAATGTTTTTAATAAATGAAATCCATAATATAATCGCGACTCTCAGACCACTAATCTACTGCATTCAGGAAATAAACTTAAAAGAAAATCATAAAACCCAACTTTAAAAATGACACTGTTTTTTTATTATAGTTTATGGATTTTGTTCAAGTTGGAGAGTGGCCTTGTTTATATTAAACTTATTAGGAAGCTAATAAATACAAATACACACTGAAATAGAATTCATAACATTAATTGTAAATTATCACTAATTGCAAATTATACGTAGCAGATAACAAAATTATATATGTATTTTGAAGTGTTCAGAAAAATTAATCGGCAACTGCCCAAACCATTTATAATTATAGGTGATTTCAATCTCCAAAATATTTTTCGGAGCTTAAATATACTGATTATAAAGCTAAAATAATTGAAGAACTTCTAGATGAAATTAAATTTATATAACACTACTCAACCACGGTGTACCTACTAGATTTAATTTTACAAATGGAACCTTCTCAATAACTAAAATTACCATAATTGACACCAGTATTACGCACCTGACTAATTCGAGCGTACAAAACTGGGGTACCACTATTGAGTTGAAACTGAAATCATAATAAGATATAACAAACCATCACCAAACCCAAAATGGAAACTTAAAAGAGCAAATTAGAATCTACACAAAGGTCTTATACAACATGAATTACAACAGTTACCATCAAACATCCCTAGAATTAATTAAAACATAAGAACATTTACTGCGAGCAGTTTATATTATCAAAGAAAAACATTCAATTAAAAATAACATGAGTCAAGTAAATGTTCATAACTGAAAACAATAAAAATGAATCCTAGAAACACAATACATTAACTTTATAAGATTTGATACACTACAAACAGTAAGCTAGAGTAAAATAAAAGTAATAAGAGACTTTAACAGTATATCTATACAAGTAATAGAATAACCTTACTTACAATGGTAATTTACCAATTCCAGTAGACAAAGCAGAAGCTTTAATTACATATTTAACCAATAATCAAGCAAACGACTTCTTAGAATTTCAAAAGAAAACAATAATATAATTATATCATTATATTATATAGCTCATCATCATTACACATTTTAAATTTAACTTTTAACAACTAAGAATTCACAAATCGCTTATAAAGACTCAAAGCAAAAGCCTAAACCCAGATAACACTCTTTTTAAATTTTTACAAAACTTACAATCACATGTTATTT